TTTACATCTGTTTTTACATTTATTAATCAAACTCTGATAAAATATAACATGTGACACACCCTTTTTCTTTTATCTAGTAAATGATGTGGTTTTGGGAGTGAATACACACCTTTCCTAAATCATAAAAGAATTACATTAGTCATGTCATTGGGTCACTGATATAACCCAGCTGCTGGATAACTCTTCCTCTTTTCATTCCTGTTAGACTTCTGTAGAGGGTGGAGTTGAAAGAAATTGAGAGCAAACACAGATTGAAGAAATGCTTCAATATGTTTCAGTGATTCAACTCATCTCCCTCTATTCCTCAACTGACAAAGGAAAAACCAACATGAAACATGGAGTACCTATATAGCTCCCATTACATTGTAATTGAATATTTAGCTTTTACAGTACTTCCTTTATTCTTTTTGAAACAAACATTCTTTCATTTTTTCTCCTGCAATGTCTGGTATTTGCATGTACTATAGTCTATAACATAAAGAGAATCCATGAATCTGATTTGGACTTACAACTTGAATATTATTTGTTTTAGATTTTTCTCAAACCTCTTGACTATTTCTTCTAAACAACTGTATCTTAAAGGGTTAAGAACTACCTTAATGTGAATTTAACACAGGCCTCAGACAATCATCCTGTCGTAGTAAATTTCACATTACACCACTTTGCACAATTTCACATTGTATTTATCATTCTGTTTGGCATTAATTTTCCTAGAAAGAGCTGTCCTAAGCAAGAACAGGCCTTCACTCAATGCATTGGTAAAAGTAACTCGAAGGGTGTGGTACATTTTTCAGTTAATAACTCACTGTGTACTGTATGTCACAGATATACTGTAAGGATGGCTTGCTCATTTCTTAAGGCAGGAGAACATTTCAATTTCTGAAAACTAACATATATATTTACAGGTTTTAGAGGATAACTCTCCAGATTTAAGAAAATCTAAAAAAAAACATATTTTTATAACTTCAAACACTACACTGGACACACAGAGTGCATTTTCTCTACTTCACAATGTTGAATTTTGGCCCTATATACAGTATGAGGAGATAGCATTAAGAGCATTATCAATTCACTGCAAGAGTTTTCTACCTTTGTTAATACAGGTATGTTCCTTTTAGAAGTGGAGGGTATTTACCTTTAATATGCACTGACAATTTATTGTTTTTTTACCTATAAACAGTATTGGGAAAAGTAGACAATTACAAGTTACATGTATACATGATGATCGGTTTAAATTAATAAGACATTCAGGTATTTGTTCAGGGAAATTTGTTTTAAAATGTATGTATTAATTTGCATGATAAAGCAATGCCTCCCTCAAGTAACCTCTAATTGTAATGCTTTATACTGTACATATCTTGCTCAACACTGTAATAATTGTAAATAATTGTAGCTATCATAAATCTGTAAAGTGTATCTATCAGCAGGGATATCCTTTTTTTCCCCTTTAGTTTTTCTAACCACATTTGCTCAAACATGTTCCTTGTTGACATGGTCATGTTATGGCTAGCATCACTACCAGAAAGAACAATAAATAAAGCCACCCAGGATTCTGGGTGAACATGAACAGTGATTCTGGGATTTCTTGTCAAGGTGTTTTGTTTTAATGTTTGTAATGGTTTCACTGTTCATATCTGCCTAGGACAATATTATATTTTTGCCTTAGAAATGTTCCTGCAAAAGAACAATGCCACCCCGATGACTTTTCTTGATTTTTTATATATTTAGCTTGGCTTTGTTAATGTTGCTTTTGCATCATTTCTTCTGTTCCAGCCATTCCAAATTAACATTCTTAGGCAGTCGAGCATTATAATAAGACTAAATGCATCCTTATAAATAATATAAATACTAAATGAATTGAGTCCGGACAAAACACTAATCTTAGAGTGTGTGGATTGGGTTTGGATTTTAGAACTCTATACTGGCAGCTGATTTAAAGTTTTAGTCTCTGCTGCACTTGGAAATCTGCTTGATGGAAAATAGATACATTTATGCTGTGCACACAGACCTTAAAATTCACATCTGAGTTCCTGGAGGGCTGATCAGTCACAATGTGTGTACAATCTCCAGACTTGTTAATGCAAATGTTCAGATGAGCACAGGCAGATGATTTTTTTTCTTGCTTAGTTACTTTAAGCAAACATTACATCTGCTTCCAGGGATGCAGAGGGGGCCACTGTCATGGAAGTAATGTGTATTAGCATTACCGGAGTGGTTAGGTTGCTATGGTAACTATATGGAGAATGTTTACTGTGCTCTTAAAGAGCATAATTCCACTGGAGAATTCTTACTGACCAATAGTTTTTAATGTATCTAGACTTAACTGAATAATATTGTTTACAGTTTCAAAAATCACAGTTTTTTCTCTATGTTTCTTTTTCTTCTTCTTTTTCACAGCCTTAGTCCCAGACTGTCCTGGGGTCAGCTGCTTTGGTTGCTCCTCTCCACTTGTCTCTGTCGAGCACATCTTACTCACTGACTTCACATACCTCCATATCTTTTCTCACACAATCTATCCATCTCTTTCTAGGCCTGCCTCTTCTTCTGTTACCTTCCACCTCAAATTCCATTACCCTCTTTGTTACTTCCTCAATGTCCCTCGTCATGATATGTCCATACCACCGTAACCTCGCCTCTCGCATCTTCTCAACCACATCCACCACCCCACATCATCTGGTACAGTATGTTTTATGTTTTATGCATAAACATATAGTTTTTTCTCTATGTTTATACATTACAAATTACAGTAGGTATTTACCGTATATCTGTATGACGAACTTACTGTACCTAGCACTTTTCAACAAATTCAATAAGCCCCAAAGTTACCACTGAGATTGCACTTGATTTGCTCTTAAAACAGACACATAATGGTTTGCTGAAGATCATCACTGTTGAGATTTAATTCCTTTAAATAATAATATAGTTATATATACTTTTAATCATTCCTTATTGATAATGAGGTCTAAAAAATTAATAAAACTAATGAAAATCTAAAACTCCAAAAACATCATACCTTAAGATAGTAAATTAGATGACAAGTAGGAAATTCCTTTTTTTATTTTTGATTTAGTTCAACATCACTACAGCTAGTATATACACTTTAGAATGGTATGGACACCTTTCTGTGAAATTCAATTTCATCACTTAGATCTTTGAAGCTACATTACTTGGACAAAATATTAGGAGCTCTCATCTAGCCTATGGAACATGCACCTTAATCCTGAAAAATGAAGGTCACCCTGCTAGGGGAATGGGATAAAATAGTGTGGCAAGCTTTTGTTGTTTGTAGAGGACCAAATGATATTCTGTAATATTCCCTACGTTTTGGTCCTTGAGTGAACATTACACATGCTGGCAGGAGGAAGGTCAGAGTAGTTTGGATCTATCATCTTTAATCCCTAGACAGACATTGGAAAGTGAGCTTCATTTGAGGAGCACTTTTTCAGGCCTATAAGTAAAGACCTGCAGGAGCAGCTTTTAAAAAAATGTCTGTCTCAGCCAGGGTGCTGAAGCTGTAGTTTTGGATATTGCTCTATGCTGACTTCTTGCAGTTTGCAGTTCAAGTTTTTTTTTACAAATACATGAAAAAAAATAGTCTCTGCAGGGCAAAGGTGTTTTACAGAGAGTTCTGGAATACAGCGACTGTGTCATCAAGCTCTGCATAGCAGACATTTTCTTTTTTAATATTTCTCCCCTTCAACAAAAGGTGTTTTTGGCTGAACAGCAATACACACAATACAAATCAAATGTAACATTTTTCTGAACCGTAATTATTAACACTGTGGTACGTGTAAAAATTAACACTCTAGTAATTTATAAGATTAAACCATAACTTTCACTACTGCTATGTAGTGTACGGTGCCACCAACTGAACAATTGAAAACAAAATCTCTTTATTATGGATAGATGACTTGTTGTTTGCCAAAGGATGCAACTTACAGAACAGGATGAAACAATAGTCCCACCTCACTGGGCTTGAAAAACAGGTCATGTAATGACTTTCTTAAGATGCCTCCATCTTGAATGTCACACAGTATCTCAAAGACATTTCATACTCCTGTTGACAGAGTTCTGTCATTAACACCTCTTTCTTCCTGCCAGCCTTCTAAATACAATTGCATTGTTCCAAGTCTTTTTTTAATGTATAACCCCAATGAACTCTTGATGTGAAAATTGATGTACAGACCTCATACTGTACACAAGCCCTTTTTATTACTTTTTGCTTGCAGGCTGGAATTAAGACTCAGCATCAATATAATGCTTTTAGAGTCGTTCCAAACAGAATTACATGTGAACAAAGTGAGAAATGGAAGTCTGAAATAACTCAATGTAGCATTAAGCTTGCTGTGACTCGGATAATTTGATTTTTCTTTGGGTTCTAACCTGGAGCGCTCACAATAAAGGAAATTAATAGATACAAAAAATAAGAGTAACAGTTACTATGCTTTGATTATTAGTGACTATTATGTTCTGTGCTTATGAATGAAAAATCTTAAGACACATCTTAATATTGTCAAATAAAATGTTCTTGCCTAAACGGGTCATTAGATTTGAGCCTAGTAACCAGACCGCACTCAACCCAAAGTCTTGATGATTTCTGCATTAGTTACAAGAAGGTTTTTAGATAACACCAAGATAAATTCCTCAATACTTTTCATGTATTAAAGTAACAATACACGCACTAACCGTCCAATACACGGCATCTCTTTAGGATTTTTTTTCTCTTATATTCACGCTGAATAATGATTGAATGAAAAAAGGGCAGAACTGCTCTCATCTATTAACTCTTTACAAAATGGAAGTTATTGTTCTTTATTTATTCTGTGCTTTTCACCTTTCAACATTTTTCACTTGAATTATATATTTTAGAAATAGTTTTTTTCTATATTGCAGAGCATATCCTTGTTCCCCTGAGACTACAATGACTCTGTGATCACAAAAATAAAAAATAGAGGAGAAAAAAAGATGGGAGGAGTCTGGTGACGTCTGCTTCAATTCACCCTGCAGCAAAAAATCTTCTGTGTGCACAGACTTATTCAAATGAAGCAAGGCGATTGTTTTGCGCACTTACACAGTTCGTTTGAGTCTGTACTTCAAGAAAATGAACCAATAATGGAAGGACATATAAAACTGGATTTTTCGCAACCCGACTCTGTTTTGGGTTGATATAATCCACACGGCTTTCTCCCGGTTTGCAGTTAAGGTTTTTGGATGTCACGTTTATCAGAAGAAAGGAGGAGTCGTTGTTTTTTTCATTGTAGCTTGGTGGTGCTTTACGTTTGAGAATACAGACTGTTAAAATCTTCAACACAGGTGAGCAGTTGTGAACGTCTTTAAAGTTTTCACTTGAAGCACCCTGTTTTGCAAACAAGAGTCTGTCTTTCGAGGGGTGCAGAACACAGCAAGGTTTTGCGCTTCTCGGGGGTGTTAACTGAAAACAGGACAATCTCAATACTGTGAAGCTGAATTTTTCCAACTGAAGTCGACCGAGCCAGGACATCGTAGGGCATCGTATGCTTCATACTTCCAGAACCATGTCTTCTCAAAACAAATTCAAGAAGGACAAGGAGATCACAACGGAATACGAAACCCAAGTGAAAGGTCGGTATTTTTCTAAAACATTATTTGACGGACATAGTAATTCTCATGTTGTATCTTTGCATTGCAACTTTCCCATTCACTGTTTGTTTATTATTTCAGTATTAAAATTGGACTCTAGTGTCATTCCCTTTCTGGAAAGCCTAATAAAAAAAACTTGCCGGTGGATATGAAACGCACATCTGCCGTTGGTGTGACTTTGCGCTGCATTGCAGCGGAGAGCAGTAAAACAAGGTTGGCTAGAGAGTCATTCCTATTGAGACACGTCCTTGTATCATTTTGACAGTTTCATGTTATCTGAAAGGTTGAATATTTTGGTCGATGGGCCTCCTTCATGTATTCTGTGTCTTGATTTATGTTGACACTGCCATTGGGTTACAAGGTGAATATCGCTCGTGATCTTGCGTAATATTTTTAGGCATTTGTTACTGTATATTCCAGGTTGTATTAGATAACTGGCTTTAAATCACTTCTTGAATAACTATATTATCGTGCATGTCATATGATAGACTAAGCATTTCTCTTTGAGGTCGTTCTGGATGTACATCTAAAAGAATACCATCACGTTGACCATTATTAACAGTAGTAATAATCCTTCATAATATTAATAATTAACAGTCATAATAAAGTGGCAGACATGCCCCCTCAAGTAGTGTGACGCATGCATGAGTCAGTACGTGTTTAAATTCATATTTCACAACTGGGTTTTAGGGTACTCTACGAAGTCATGGTAAATTTGGGAGTTATTTTTTCCCCTCGTATCTACTTCCGTGGAAGTGTGCTGAATGTTCGTGTTTTTCTATCATCTCCGTGAATAGCATCTCGCGGCTTTGTTGCTGGGTAGACTGATGCTTGAAATGCCGGTCCATTTCTGCGCGAGGCTCCGAAAGCAGCCAGATGGGTGGAATTGGAGGGGGAGCTCCTTCAATTGTTTGCCTTTGTTTACGCTTTAAAGCCTTTGTAGTGGCTTTCGAGAAAGGCGGAATGAAATAGAAACTAAATACCCCCCCCACCACCACCCACCCTTACACACACACACACAAACGAGTGTTAGACTAGTGGAAACGTCTTTGCACACACATAAACTCCATTGTGAAAACAACAGCATGAACAATCTTGGAACATTGACTGAAATGTACAGTAACATCTGGGATACTGGTGGTATATTGAACCACTTGGCTGATGCACCGGGCAAAGCCTTTCTAAGCATAAATGGAGAATTGCTTTTAAAATACAGATAAGGTTTAGAATATCTCACAATTGATTCCCTGATAGTGAACAGTTCTCAAAGCTGTGTTCACTTGACAATAAAGACTGCAATAAGAACTGTGTTCCATTAAGTTTAAGGGAAGGACTAGAGAGGAGAGAGTTTGTGGGTAAGAACACTTTTGAACACTGATTTCAGTAACTCATTCCAATAGAAACTCATTCCAATTACAGACTCGACTGGTATGGCATATTCAAAAGAAAGGAAAAGATAATCCAGGCCGAGCTAGAGTAATCTGTAGTCTCCTATAGTCACTTATAAAACCCACAGGACAGCATTCTTCTCGAAAGCAGGTGTCTGTCAGGAAGTCACAGACCGCTATAGAAGCCTAGCACCAGCGAGGACATCTATCACCATTGAGATTGAGAACACCATTCACTCTTGCTTTACTGCTGTCAGTGGCAGTCGACTCATGAGAAATGACAACCATGCGTAATGGGCATTGTGCACCCTAAGGGTTATTACACAGCTCGGCCTATCAACTACAGCAGTTGTCAGGTTTGGCCACGGATCTGTTATTGCGGTACCATGCACAAGGAGCCTTAGAATGTTAATTAAAGTTGTGCATATAAAAAACAAAGGACTTTAGAAGACTTCATCATTCCTTTAATAAACAGAAGTCCGGATATTTTATTTTTTCTGTATACTGTACCAAGTATATAAGTGAAAATTTTTGCTTGCAACAATTTAGACAGCATGGGCACTTATTTCTCCTAAATTTAAAAAACGAGGAACAATTTCACAACATGGTGTGCAGATGGGCAGAAATCGGAAATTATAAACAGCTTTGGAAAGTAAGCTGTTTGAGTATGTTGCCATACTTCATAGTTAGCATACTTCATACAGCTTCATACTTCTGTTTTTTAAGCAGTGATACTTGTGGTTAAAATGATTGTATTAAACATATTTCACTGTTTTTATATGTAAATAGTAGTATTTTGTCTCCCACTTCACGTAAGGAGTTAATGCAGCGATTGATTTTGAAGTGACCTTGAAAGATGCTTGTCACAGCTGTAAAAAAAAAAATCATGTTCATTTTCACTTTGTTGTATTTCAGATTAGTGCTGATATGCAACATATATGAAAGATAAAGTCATAGGTTGTATAATTTGTCTTCATTATCTAATTATCATTGCAAGGCTTCACCTACTGTATATTCTTTAGTATCTGGCTACATGTTTTGATGTATCATGCATGTTTAAAAACAATAGGCTAATTGTTTTCTCCAGGAGGACGATAAGCAGTTTATGCATCATAACAGAAGTGGGTCTTCCTATGTTTTATCAGCATTATCTGGAAGACCCATGTTGCTGTGCATCTGTTTGAAGCAGTAGTGTTTTTTATTGCAAGTGTCCCTAGAGACAGCTAACACAGAAATGGTCCCAAATCTTTTTAACCTGCTCAGCCATGAGATAGGTCCATACAGAAACTGTTTCAGAGCTCGGCAAGGTCCAGAGAACCAAAGTCTCAACTGTTTTGTTTGATTCATTCAAGTTTCATATTTTCTACTGGGAAAAAAAGCCTGAAATAATCAGTAAAGGAAGGTAGAAAGAGAAAGAAAGATGTCATAGGTTTTTATTTTCTGTGTGATAATATTATTGTAAAATGACAATATTATTTTAGTTTTTCACAAGCTGTGACAAACAATAACCTTTGGCTGTGCCCATGGATAATTTTTAATGAAAATTATTTACAATTAACCAAAAGTGGTTAAATGTAGGAGAGTGTGTTGTATGTTTAGAAAATGTGGCTGTCTTTAATGAGGTTAATAAGGCTGCATTCATATTGTTTCCACTGAAGTATAGCTAGGTTAAAGTCAATGACAAACGAGATTTTTTTGTAGTTATGTGGGTTGCAAGTGTTCAGTGTATGATTTCTGTGGTCCTTAGCTGGCAGAATGGGATCTGTGATCACTCAGTGCAAGAATTCCAGTTTACCATCTGGGGAAAAGTTGATGTAATAATTACCAAGTGTCCAAAGGACTTTCCATAAATGAGAAGAATATGGAAAGAATATGGCATCCTGGCAGACTGCAGAAGAATGAAGAACAATGCACTTGCATAGTACATGGATCTTGTCAGATCTCGGAGGCTCAGCCAAGGTCTTTCCAGTCATTTTTGGGATTGGAGAGCTCTGGGGAATGCCAGGTGGGTCTTGTGCTTGTGGACCAGTAGGTGGTGCTTTTTCCTCTGTATTAGATTTTCAAAAGTGATGACCCAATATGGTGAACAGAGACACGGATAACGGAGATAATGCCCAATGGATATTTAACCAAGTTCCCTACTTCATGGCCTCTAAATATTCCGTGAAAATGTTTGTAAGAGGAGGGTTGTTAACTCCAGTGTCTTGACTAATTTCTGCCCTGAACTTGTGTAGTCTGACCTCCATAATCTCTCTTCTTAATTGAGTTGGTGAAGTAATTTCTAATTTCTCCATTTGCTCTGCTGTGTGGTGGGGTTTCTGGTGAAAAATAATGTTGTGCGATTTCACATAAGTGAGTGTTATACGTCCGTGACAGATGAAGTGAGTTCCTTCCTAAAGATTAGCACTTTTTATACCAAAGTGCCGTTATAAATGCAAGAAATTTAAATTCTTATTTATTGAAATATTTTAATAATAATAATAATAATAATAATAATAATAATAATAATATAAAACTGAAATGTTTTACTGCCTTTATTAAGTCCAATATGGTTTTATAAAAGAATACATGTTTAAATTAATTCTAACATAAAATGCTATGTGTAGTATGGTCAACTTTACCTTTGTTTTGTTTTGTTTATTAGTATTAAAATTGGGTTTTAAAATATATTTCAAATAGTAAATGGAGGCAAAAGACAGTATTGGCATTAGGTTTGATTAGCTGCTGTAGGAAGTTCTCTAGCCCAGCATGTATTAAAAAAACACCTTTTTAATTTCCTGTGCTGTACTTGAGCCAGATTATTTGTTTTTTTAACTTATAACAATTTTTAAATTAACTTTTCAGTCAGGAAGTAGGTGCAGTTATCTGCAGGCACTCCAATATCATTCTGAGTTACTGTGCTTATCACAGCATCACAGCAGTAATAGTAAAGTAACTCTTGCTAGTCTTTTGTTAATACTGTATATCTTGCTATGCAGTATGTATTGCTATTGAATTAAAGAATGCATTTGTTTTCAAAACCTGCAAAAAGCAAGCAAAATATATCCACCATCAGGTTATGCTGTGTGCTGTATTGTTTTGCTTTGAAAAACATTTTATTTTGTATAGGAGGTTGGAAAGTAAACAGACCTATTTATCCTTGACTTTAAAATGCCTTTTTAAGTGAGGAAATTAAACAGCATATTTGGTAAATATTTATCTTCTGAATAAAATAGTTTTTCTGACAGCTTGTGTTACCACTTGACTTCTTCCATGGCATGCTCAGATCTCTTGAAAAATGAATTGATTTATTCATTGATCAAATTATATTTTCTTTTCTTTTAAATGCAGCACTGTGAGGATTTGAAAAGCATAGCAGCAAGGATTGATACTTACAATTTTTTTTCAAATGTGTTACTTCAAATAGATTGAGCTTAAAATGTGGTATTGTAGATAGGGAGAGACATTGGAGCTGGCTTTGTGGTGCAGTGCTAAGCATAGCTGCCTTGCAGCACTGGGGTCCTGGGTTCAATACCTGAGGAGCTATCTGTAGGTTTTTACGTTCTCCCCTTGTTTGCATGGGTTTCTCCCAGGTGCTTCAGTTTCCTCCCACAG